CGCTGGGTACGCAAAGATACCACCATAAAGCAGCGTGCGATACGCATCTGCCACCATGGAACCGATATACCTTGCACTGTACGGCTTCTGTCCCTCAGCGGGGTTCTTCAAGCTCTCACACCACTGCTTGACAGGCTCTTCCCAGTACATGCTGTTACCCTCGTTGACGGAGTAAATGCTCCTCGTCTTGGGGACGCGCATATCGGGATGTGTGAGGATGAACTCGCCAAACGCATTGTCGAGCGTAAAGCCATTGACGTTTCCGCCCTTCATTGTAAGCACCAACTGTGCGGACGCGCCGTACATGGTGAAGCCCGAGGCCACCATCTCGGTACCGGGTAGAAGCATCTCTTCTTTTGTGCCTTTGGCGCCCTCGGGCAGTTTGTACACGGCGAAGATGGTGCCGACGGCGACTCCGGCGTCGAGGTTGGAGGATCCGTCGATGGGGTCGCAGGCTACGGCGTAGCGCGCGTTGGGGTGCTCGTTGAAGACGATGGCTTCTTCTTGCTCTTCGGAGATGAGGAGGCGCACGCGGCCGGAGGAGCGCATGGCGCTGATGAAGAGCTCATCGCCGATTACGTCGAGCTTCTTTTGGTCGTCGCCGGTTGTGTTGGATGTGCCTTGGAGGCCGGTGAGCTGGGGGTGTTAGTTGCGCTCTCGTGTGGTCTGTGATGGTTTGCATACGTTGATCAGTGTTGCTCTCCGGATGTAGTAGGCAATGCTCTTGAAGGCGAATTGCAGTGCGTGGCATAGTAGTCTGGTAGAATGATCAGGTTTCTGTTCCAAGTGGCTTGAGTTTGGCACTTACGTGAAGTCTCCTGTTGCCTCCGCGTACTTGGTCTGCTCTTCAGTGAGGAATCGCGTAAGGGTGATGATATCGGTGTTGATCTTCTCCTGCCCGGCTGGGCCTCCTTCGTTACCGTTGGAAGCCATGGTGTAAACTTTTGCTATACTCCAATTTACAAGATGCGAATGAAGTCAGACGTTAGAAGCAAGTTGGTAAGTTGGTATGGGCGGTCGAAGGGAAGATGGGAAAGCAGTCTGGGGAATGGGGAAATTTGGAGAGAGGGATGGTGAAAAAGCTATCAAGCTCAAGGTTCAGCGAAAAGCGGAGCTGGCTATCGTTATGAAGTCAGGGTGGGTAGAGTCGGGCAGGCGGACCACACTTCTGTGGCATTTGTTTGGCAGGCCGCTGGGAAGCTATAGCCCTCGGCAACTGGCCGGACGTCACTGGCAGCTCACGATGCTTCAGCCGGGGCGGCGGTCAGCGCGTGTCACTGCGCCAGTTTCTCCGGAGCAAGCCCGAATTTCGTGGAAAAATTCCCGAGCGAAGATGCTCGACATGGTTCTGGCCCGCGAGCTGAGGACGGCATCCAGAGTGTTGCGGGAATTGACGCGCTTTGTTGCGGGAGCGCGTGGGTGGCAGGCTATGATGCAGGTGCGGAGACGGAAAAGTGGAGGGGCACGAGGGGTTGGCGGGGCGCGACTGAAGCGCTGACGTTTGCCCGACTTCTTCCGGACCGCGGACGTAGAGGCATCACCATCACGCTCGTGCTATATACTCCCGTGCTTCTGAAGACTATTCGTGGTTTAATTGCGCTATGCTGCGTTTTCCTCTTTGGGTTTCCGCGTCTGGAGAGAAACCGCGACTTTTTCAGTCAACAATTTACTCGTGTTCGGCGCAAGCAGCGACAACAATATGCCCAGTCCAGTAAAAGCCAAAGACACCAGATAAACAGTCTTGAAAGCTTGTGACAGGCCCAAATGATATGCCGGTACCGCAACTGCTCTAATCTCAGGGGTTAGTCCGTTTACCATGGACCATGCCGCAGGCGTTCCCAACGACAAGGCTGAGAGGATCGAAGCAGTGCTATCTTTAGGCAAGCCAGCGCCCAACACGGCGGGAACTACTGCAGCAGGTACCGTCGTCGAGCGCCTGTTCGCCAGGACGACGTTGTAGACTGCTTGACATGTACCCGCGACAGCGGTGCGTACTGATGCAGCAGCACCGCCAGCAGCGCCAATCTCTCGTTGATCGGTTATCGTGAGAATCGCGTTTCCGAGGGCGATGTCCGCGACGTAACCCATCATCATGGCGGAAAAGAAGATTAGCGCAGAAGATTGGGCTTGGTTGCTTGGGTTTGCTGTTGACACCGCTGTTGTCCCCGTTAGTATACAATACAGTGTAGATGCAGGGATAAAGTAAGACTTACACGCAAGCAGCCCTCCACCTATAGCCATAGCCACGGTAATCTGCCAATTCTGATATCCGATCGGTCCAGCCAAGCATCCTCCCACAAAACCGCCTATCAGAATCCCTAAATTGGCTAACGAGGAAAGGAATGCGGCATGCATAAGGTCGCCGTTGGCGTAGAAGTTCTGTGTGATCTGGGGCCAGATGACTGGGCGATTAGCTGATATCCTAGCAAGACTGAAGGAATGAAACTTACTCGCGCCGGCATAGTACACTCCAGCCCCGATACCCGTGAGTATTGCCGATACAACCCATGGTCGGTGGCGGAAGAGGCTCATGGGGACCAGAGGCTCCTTCAAGTCCATGAAAAGTTCCCAGCATACAAAAGCAACAAGACAGGCGAAGCCGATGAGGATGAAGGACAGCACCTCCGCCGACGTCCAGCTATACTTAGTGCCGCCCCATGAAAGACCAAGCAGGAACATAGTAAGGCCGGCGGCATAAAGCAACGTGCCAACGTAGTCGAACTTCTTAACAAAATCCATCTTCTTCTCCCTCTGACCATGCTTCTGGTGGAAGTTGGGAGGATGGTAAAATACGCAGTAGCAGATCAAAGACGCTCCGTTGACGGCAGTGAGTAAGAAGTATACAGCTCGCCAACCAACGCGAGTCGCAACTAGGCTCTGCGCAACGACGGGGGCGAAACCCTGCCCAGGTAGATTCCAGACGTTGATTGCGCCAATCATGAGATATCGGTACTTAGATGGGATGAGTTCGCCGATGGTGTAGTAACAGGATAGTTGCGTCGCAGCGGCGAGGGCCTTGATCATGGATCCAACAATCAACATGTTGACGTTGATAGCGAGAGCACTGATCAGTGTCCCGATCATAGCGAGGAATGCCCCCACGATGAAGAAATAACGACGGCCGAAGATGTCGCTCAGTCTTCCTATGATGGTCTGGTCGAAGTCAGTGATGAACGAGTGGAAGTCGAGATTGGTCTTTGTACGCACCATACCTACGGACAGTCCAACTGGATGCACCAGTGCCACCCACTGGATGTTAGGATCTGGTCCAATATCCGCGTTGATAGTTCCCAAAATAGGTGCAGCATATGCAAAGCCTGTATTGCGATCGTTAGGCATTTTCTCATGTGATTCATCAAGTAGCGGACTTACCAGCATTGCCAGCCCAAGCACCAAAGCCCACGGCGCAACATGTACCAAGGAAGAAGGAACTGAGATAGTACCCCTTCGGCAGATTCTCCACATCGCCAGCGAAGCCATCGGCGTCAGTCTGGATCTTGTCTTCTTCCTTCATGTTTTTGAGAGGTATGCTCGAAATGTCCTCAACCGTAGAGATATCGGGAGTTGACTTATCGGTTGCGGCCATTCTGATAGCTGTTGTGGCCCCAGTTGTTGTTGAACCGGACATATGTCGGAAGTGGATACAGCATTGATAGCAATACTTATGGTGTGGGATAAGACTTGATTCATACGCGAATCACACAGTCCCGTCCTTCCCGACTTTGTGGCTGCGAATGTCGCGATCTGTGTTGAGAATTACGGGAGTGGATACATTTCTCCGAAGCCACCGTTTTCAGCTCAGCACACGCCATGAGATTCGTAGAGTCTGATGATTCGAGAACACGACTCTGCTAGGTGACTGTGATCAGAGTACATAGACAAGCATTGCGGGGTATCGCCGCGCGAATGGTAGTTCTCACGCCGCCACGTAGTTCGGTGTTGAGTCTCGCCGTTCATGATGCGATATGCAATGTCAGTGTGGTAGCGTACGAAAGCGGGCGCTAATGCAAGGTCATGCTAGCGGCACCATGTCGTTTGCGGTCATAGCGATTTCGCGGGAGCCGATATGCGACCGTATACTTTCGATTGGATGAGACGAATGCGGATATCGTTGTTCAAACGATGTCGGTCGTGCCGTAACTCCGCGTAATCGGCTTGCATGACACTGCATTGCAGAGTCCATGTCGATCCGAGCGTGCACCGTTGAAGTGGAGATGTATCTGGGCAGTCAAGTCTATCCTGAGTTCAAGCCAGCTCAGAGTCGCTTCGAAATTGATCACGACCTTACGTTGTCTTCGAAGTCGTACACCTCCAAATTTCACACAATATGGTAAATCGTCAGCGAAGCCCCGTCAAACCAGCATGGGATGCACAGACGGCTGTTCAAGAAGTCGACGAAGCGACACCCTTGTTTCCTGAACTGACATCATCATACGAGGTGAGCTTCTCTCATCCCAAAATTACCTTTTTTGTTAGCTAAGTTTTTGTAGGCAGTCAATGGCGCTTCGCAGGATCCTGAGCGAGGAGATGGGTCCGCGAAAGACCACTCAACGCCGAAACGATCGCTGGTGACAACCATTTCTATCTTGTTGATCGGTGGGTGCCTTTACTCTGTCGACACAGCCCTCCGCTGATCGTAGCAGGTGTCTTCATCTCCCAAGCGGACACATCGCTAGTGTTAGCCACGTATGGCAAGATCTCGTCCGAATTTCATGACCTCGAGAGCGGCTCTTGGCTCCTGTCAAGCTACATGCTGGCCATGTGTATATCGCAACCACTCTTCGGAAAGCTGAGCGACATCTTTGGGCGAAAGTCGTGTTTGCAGGTGGCCTACGTCCTCTTCGCAATTGGAACGCTCGGTTCGGGACTGGGCCGGTCAATGGCTCAGATCATCGCTGCTCGTACAATTCAGGGTGCTGGGGGCGCTGGAATGGTGTGCATGGTGTCGATCTTGTTGACTGATCTGCTGCCCTTCCACGAAGTCGCGCTATACCGAAGCTATGTCAATGTGGTGCAGACAGTTGGAAGAAGCTGTGGCGGCGTAATTGGGGGGTTTCTTGCTTCCACGATTGGCTGGCGCTGGTAAGTCCTTAGATGGCAGTTCTTTCGTTACGCACACAAGTTACTGATGGATGCCGCAGGGCCTTCTTGGCACAAGTTCCTCCAGTCATTCTTTCGATTGTCTTAGTCCAGTGGAAATTGGACGTTCCACAGAAGACTTTCAAACCTGGGCACTGCGAATCCACTCGCGACAAGTTACGACGTATCGACTTCATCGGAGCGGTATGCATGAGTATAACCATCTTCACTGCGCTATTCGTCCTGGACACTGGCGGACAGAAATACGATTGGAACCACCCCGTCATCATCACATCCGCTTGCGTTGCTGTTATCGGTGCTGGAACGTTTGTCGTATACGAACGGTACTTCGCGAAAGAGTCAATCTTTCCTGTCCAACTACTCACCCGCTACGTTGTTGGCACGTCTTATGGAATCCTTCTCCTGCAGAACTTTTCTCAGACCGCAGTAAGACCCAGCAATTGTAGCTGAAAGATGAAAGGCTAACTTAGTGCCAAGCTAATGTTCATCATCCCCATCTACTTCCAGGTCACCAATAATGCATCGACTGGCGAAGCCGGCGCCTACCTCATACCCTCTGTGGTTGGAAATACAGTCGGTGGCCTCCTGACGGGGGCATGGATCAAGCGGTACGGTCCTCCGTTCACGTATCTGGGATGGCGAGCTAACACAAACCAGGACCGGAAGTTACAAAGCTCCTACCATACTCGCGAGTGCCAGCTCAGCGTTGTCTTTCATTCTTTTGCTCTTATTCTGGCGTGGGCATACCACAGTCTGGGGATCCCTCCTAATATTCCCCGCCGGCTTTGCAACAGGCATGGCTCATTCGGCCGTGTTCGTTGGATTGACATCCGCAGTGGCGAAGGACGACGTAGCCATTGCTGGCTCTGGCTTGTACCTGAGTGGTAACGTGGGGGGCGTTACGGGCGTGAGCGGGGCTGCTGCAGCCTTTCAAATCGTTTTGCAGATGGGCCTGAATCATGCCCTGGAGGGAAGGAATGACGCATCCGAGATAGTCGAGAAGGCGACCTCTGATATCGCCTACATTCAGCATGTGGGCGACGGTCTTCGCGAGCTGCTAATGCCGGCATATATACACGCCACGCAGCAAGTATTCGGTAAGTCAAGAAAATTCGAGGCCTGACTTTGCTAACTTGCGACAGTGCTTGGGCTAGTCGCCTCCGTCATCGCATTTTCCATCGCACTTGTCACGAAGGAGAGGAACCTGTTGAAAGCAAACTCGGCCGAGTAGACAACGTATCTTGCCCCCATTTCTTTACGCGTGAGAGTCAATAACTTGGATGGCGCAAGGTGTTTGACGTCACCCATGGGCAGCCTGTGGTGGAATGGTGTAGCCGGGACATATAGCCCGAATTGCTACAAACGATCAACAAACACCGTATAGTACAATGAAGTCTTGCATCAGCTGCGGCGCTGACCAAGTCATTCGACGCATGCGTGATCAAGGCGTCGTCGGAATGCAGTCCAAGTATGGGAATGTTTCCACCAGGTCGGGCCCGACTGTCCAGTGCTTCAGCTGCCGGACGTGACTTTCGAAGTCCGGATTGAGCTGCAGCTCACTGTTCGATGCGACAATGAGGATACTAGATATGTCGTGAGGCCAATGGATTGACAGCGAATTGCCCGTGATCTCCCGTAGCTTGGAGAACTCCCGCCCCTCAGACAAGTCCATATACTGGAGTATGCGCTTCCGTGCTTCAGGCCTTCAACTATATCGTCAGTAGTGGTACTCAACCTTTGACCGTAAGCTTACCAAACTATCGTATCAACCCAAATCGGATGGGGTATTGTTAGCTGGGCTTCTACAGGCCTCAAGAAGTCTGGCATGGCTTCATAATTGCGCTTTGTGGGGGATATGAGCCAGCGTAGCAACAGGCTCATATAATACAAACACGCAACCCTTTCGGCTGAGCCCTTGACTGCCATACTTATCTTACCGTGCTGACCTAGAGCATCCGAAATCGGATTCTGCGAATTGCGGGTAGCAGGGTTGAGCAACGACCGAACGCTAGGGAAAGACTTTTCTGGAAGCTGCCCAGAAGATTGCACGTGCTGACGGCTGGTAACAATGATCTCCAGCAATACAGAATCGAGCCGACAGGTGGCGGATGCATGAAGCGGCAGTCGCTCCCACGGCGGAGGCTGTGAAGATGTGCCAGCCACGTCTAACAACGGGAGCTCTGGTGCGAAAGGCCAACCCCCTGGGATGCCGACACCGTCCTGGGCTGCATTCGCGCCAAATAGTGATAATGAGTATGTATTGTTCGCGTCTGGTTCCAGGACTAAGGATTTAGCTGATATCCGATCAGTCCACGATAGCGAGACTTACTCGAAGTGCCATCCCACATATTGAAAAGAGACTCGTCCGCACTGATAGGCAGCTCTAGGCTCAGCCCAGTATCTGCATCTCTCAAAAGCACGCCCTCGGTGGACGTTGCGCCGTAAGCTGAAGCATCGATAGTCGCTGAGCCATCGCTCAGGCCAGCAGATAGTGAATGCGATGCGAAGTTCAACGTCGTATTGGCCCCAATACTAGTGGGGGGAGATCTTGAGGTTTGCGACAAGTCGAGCCCGGCCTCAGCAGAGGAGGGGTCTGGGACTGCTCCAGTCGATGGTGAGGACGCATCTCTATCAAATGGTGAGACTGTGTGGTGATCGACCATCTGAAGGGACACTCGCGCCGAATTGATGATCTCTCGAAGGCATGTTTCATTGTTCTGCAGCTGTTTGACGAGGCCTTCCGAGCGCGTAAGGCGCCGCTTCAGATCAGCGACCTCTTCTTCTAGCTCTGCTATACGCGACTTCTTCCGCGCTCTCGCAGCTCTTTGGTTAAGTCTGTCGAATGTCCTCTTTCGGTACAATTGTTCGGTACTCATATTTGCCACTGTCCTGTCCATGGCTGCGTGTCTCGTCGGTGACGAAGTTTCCACGTGGAGAAGCCATGGGAGGAGCGCGCCGGCATTCTCGGCGACGTGTTAGGAATCGCCGCGAGAGGATTGGCGTTCGCGGCTTGCTGCGTCGTAGCCGGGCACGCAATGCGGAGACGATAGCACGAGGGAGACATTTCCCGCGATGGCTGGTGCCAGGTGTGGGGTGAGGCTCGTGCTCGAGGTTTAGCGTCGCGCTACGTGACAATGCATCGACCCATGAACTCCACCCGCGTCCTGCACTCACGCGTCACGGCGCCGGCCTCGTCTTCAAGCCCAGTATCGACGCGGTAACATCGACCCTGAACATGGCTCTGTTTGGACGCGGGGAGAGCGCGTTTAACCGTATGATGCCTTATAAGGGCACATTTCACCCGGTTCAGTTGTCAGCTTCGATAACGGCCTGCGACCATGAAGCTCCTCAAGTTGTTCCATTATGCAGTGCTCTCGTCGGCACTGCACTGCGCAGCAGCGAAGCAGCCAAATATCCTCTTCATCTTGACAGATGATCAAGATTGGCACATGAAGTCATTGGTTCGTACATCTCGGGTGATCTGAGGTAACAATAGCTTACAAAGAACAGGAGCACATGCCATTCTTGCAAAAGTATCTACTCCATGAAGGCACACTGTATGCGAACCATTTCTGTACGGTTGCGCTGTGTTGCCCTTCCCGCGTAAACCTCTGGACTGGCAGAGCTGCCCACAACACCAACGTGACTGACGTCTTTGCCCCTTACGGTTAGCAGTCACCTCCGCGTATTATGCCAGCCTCATTAACACGTCTCAGGTGGCTACCCAAAGGTCGTTCGCGAAGGCATCAACGATGACTACCTCCCAGTATGGATGCAGAATGCTGGCTACAACACATACTACTCTGGCAAGCTGTGGAACCACCACTCTGTTGACAATTACAACGCACCCTACGCCGGCGGATACAACGGTTCCGACTTCATCCTCGACCCCTATACGTACGAATACTACAACGCGCACATGAGTCGTAACGGTGGACCACCCATAAGCTACAAGGGTCAATACTCGCCTGATGTGACTGCAGAGAAGGCGTATGGCTTTCTCGAGGAGGCAACGCAACACCCTGAGCCTTGGTTCCTTACCATTGCACCTATCGCGCCCCATAGCAACGTGAAGCTTGTGCCTACCGAAGAGTATAGTGCGGATTTGCCTCAATACGCAGAGCGACATGCTCATCTCTTTACCGAATACAAGATCCCACGCGACGCCAACTTCAATCCCAAGAAGCAGGGCGGCACAGGATGGGTCAAGAGACTTCCACTTCTCAACGACACAGTCATTGACTATAACGACGAATTCCAACGCTCCCGCCTTCGTGCCCTTCAGTCAGTAGACGAGATGGTGGAGCAACTTGTGAAGACTCTCGAGCACAAGGGCCTTCTTGAAGACACATACATCATCTACACCACTGACAACGGGTACCACCTAAGTCAGCATCGCCTGCATGCTGGCAAGGAGTGTGGCTACGAGACCGACATCCACATTCCCCTCATCGTGCGTGGACCTGGTGTAATGAAGGGCCACACCACCGACATTGTCAGCTCCCACACCGATCTCGCCCCTACCATCATGAAGCTCGCCGGTCAGAGTCTGCGTGAAGACTTCGATGGCTCCGTCATGCCTCTGTCACAAGAAGACACCCTTCTTGCCGAATCTGCAGAACGTCAAGAACACATCAACATCGAGTACTGGGGCCGAGCCATCCCCGAAGGCATATGGGGCCACTACGACAACCCGGTGAAAGAGAATCATCCGCCCGACCAAAACTGGGGTGGCTACCTCCACTCTATCCGTAACAACACCTACAAAGGCCTTCGCCTCATCGGTGAGGACTACAACATCTACTACTCCGTCTTCTGTACGGGCGACAAGGAGTACTACGACATGCGCTTCGACCCAGGCCAGCTCGAGAACTACTTCGACGGCGAAGACGCGGACCTCATAGCGAAACGTAACACCTACCGTATCGCAGGTCGCTCGTTCACCGCCATCATCGACCGCATCGACGCGTTGATGATGGTCCTCAAATCATGCAAGGGCGAAGCGTGCAGAGATCCCTGGGGCGTGCTACACGGTAGTGGCAGGAAGGTCCGATCGCTCAAGCAAGCTTTGTCACATCGCTATGATGCTTTCTACGCAGCGCAACCTAAGGTCCAATTCGAGAACTGTGCGTTGGGCTATATCCGTGAGGTGGAGGGCCCGCAGCATGCGAATGTGTGGGATAGTTGGGATGGTGAAGAGGGGTCTGAACTGAAGGCGCGCAGGAAGCCGAGTTTTGTGTATCAGGGGAATCCGCATTTGCTTACTTGAGGTTGTGGTAGAAGTTGTTTCCGGGTACAGCCTGTATATACCCAGTAGGTTATGAGTGAGCATAAGTTCATATAGGATGCAATGATACATGCCTAAAGAGCTGAGTATCTTGTTAAACATACGACCCAAAATCACAGAAAGGCATGTAGACGGCAAGATAATGTATGAAGTAAAGAATTTTTGTTCAGACTGTCATTGAAGTACATCTAGCTTCCACGACAGCACACGAGACTACACGCTGTAAACATACATATCATGGGAATAAAGTAATGCAATCAATGACCAACTACCCCTTTCCACGCCTCATCCAGCGTTTACTCGCCCTTCAAGTGGTCCTGCTTCACGGTGAAAGCCATATCTAATAGGGCCTTCTCTTCGTTCTTGTGTGACACCTTAAGTCCAGTGGCCACCGACGCACTAGGGTTGCGGCCAGCGTACATGACGTGACGCCTGTTGTGGTGCTCGGTTTGGTTGAGCAGAGTCTCGATTCTGGGCTGGGTGAATGACCAGGCACCGGCGTTCAGGGGCTCTTCCTGGCACCAGATGATGTTCTGGGCGTTGGGGTACGAGTCCAGGTTGTCCTTCAGTTGTTGCCAGGGGAAGGGGTTGAGCTGCTCGATACGAGTGATGGCAACGTCCTTCTCACCGCGGGCCTCACGCTCCTTAACAAGCGCAGCGTATACCTGACCTGTGCAGAGGATGACACGGTTGATGCCCTCATGCGACTCAATCTCGCCGCTAGCGTGCGCGGGGTCTTCGATGATCCATTGGAAGTGAGAGTCGCCAGTGAACTCCTCAATGTTGGAGCGAGCGAGTGGGTGACGGAGTAGCGACTTGGAGAAGAAGAGGATGAGAGGCTTGCGGAACTGACGGTTCATCTGGCGACGGAGGAGATGGAAGAGGTTAGACGGCTTCGTTGTGTAGGCAATCTGGATGTTGCAGTCCTGGTGCTGACGGTCGAGCTTGTCGGGCGAGGGGAAGATACGGGGATCCTCATTGCAGAGCTGTAGGTAGCGTTCCATACGTCCAGAAGAGTGCTCGGGACCTTGACCGTCGTAACCGTGGGGCAAGCTCATGACGAGGCCGGAACGTTGAAGCCACTTGACTTCACCAGAGGCAATGAACTGATCGATGATGACCTGGGCAGTGTTGGCGAAGTCACCGAACTGAGCCTCCCACATGACGAGGGCGTTGGGTGATGATAGCGAGTATCCGTATTCGAAGCCAAGCCTACAGGTGATTAGTTACGGCAAAATACATCAAAACAGCATGAACTTACACTCCGTATTCGCTGAGCGAAGAGTTGGAGATGGTGAATGTTGCTTGGTCCTCGGCAAGGTTCTGGAGAGGTGTGTATGTCTTCTCAGTTTCCTGGTCGTGGAGCACGGCATGGCGCTGAGAGAAGGTTCCACGCTCGACATCCTGTCCGGAGACACGGACGTGGTGGCCTTCCATGCACAGACTTCCGAATGCCAAGGCTTCCGCGGTAGCCATGTCGATGTTCTTGCCGTCCATGACAGTCTTGGTGCGGCCAGCCAAGATACGCTTCAAGTTCTTGTGTACATTGAAGTCCTCCGGCGCGCCGCCGATCTTCTCAGCAATGTGCTTCAGTTGAGTCTCCTCGATGGCGGTTGGCAGATGGGGCAGGACCTCTTCCGCAAGCTCCTTGGGCGACTTGAAGCCGTTCCAGGCCGAAGTAAGCCATTCCTTGGAGTTTGGTACGTAGTCCTTGCTGCGGTTGAAGCTCTCATCTAGCATACCCCAGACCCAAGCCTTGTGCTCGTCAATGTCCTCCTTGGTGAAGGTCTTCTCGTCGAGCAGCTTCTTGGTGTAGATGTCCAGTGTTTGGGGTTGTTCTGAGATCTTCTTGTACATGAGAGGCTGGGTGAAGAAGGGCTGGTCAGTCTCGTTGTGACCCTGCTTTCGGTAGCAAACCATGTCGATAACCACATCCTTCTTGAACTCGGCGCGGAAGTCAGCTGCCAGCTGGCAGACGAAGTTGAGGGCCTCGACATCGTCACCGTTAACGTGGAAAACGGGCGCATCAATTGCCTTGGCGATATCAGAGCAGTAAGGAGTCGAACGGGAGAACCTAGGATCCGTAGTGAAACCAATCTGGTTGTTCACGATGATGTGAATAGTACCGCCAGTGTGGTAGCTGGGGAGCTGGTGGAAGCCCATAGTCTCGTATACTATACCCTGACCGGCGAAAGCGGCGTCACCGTGCAAGAGCAGACCCATGGCGCTGGAACCTTCCTTCTCGTCATTGTTGTAGTGCAGAATGGCGCGGGTCTTTCCTAGTACGACGGGGTCTTCGGCCTCGAGATGGGACGGGTTGGCGACAAGAGACAGCTGTACGCGCTTTCCGGATGGGGTGGGGCGCTCGAAGTTCATGCCCAAGTGGTATTTGACGTCACCAGAGCCCTCTTCGTTGGCCTCGGCAGTACCGGCAAATTCACTGAAGATGGACTCGTTGGGCTTTCGGACGACATTGGAGAGCACGTTGAGACGACCACGATGCGGCATGCCGATAACGATGTCCTTTACGCCAAAGTCGACACTGCGGTCGATGAGGGCCTTCATTCCGGGAATCAGACTCTCACCACCCTCAAGACCGAATCGCTTGTCGTTGGGGTATTTGGTGGCCAGGAAAGCTTCGAAGTTGGTACCCCAGATCAGGCGGTCCAGAATGCGGCGCTTCTCGTCGACGGAGTACTTGAAGGGTGTGGGAACCTCGATGCGCTCACGGAGCCAGTCGCACTGCTCCCTATCCGGGATGTGGATGTATTCGACTCCGTAAGAGCCGCAGTAGAGGCGTTCGCAGGCGTCGATGATCTCCTTCAACTTCATCTTCTTGCGGGACTCGGTCTTGAAGCGCGGGAGGATACCAGGACCCAATTCAATCTCTTGTTCCAGGTCCTTCTCGGTGAAGTTGTAATGTGACAGTTCGAGTTCGCGCGGCTTGCTGTATCCGAACTGCTCAGCTTCGGAGCGGATGCCCAGCGGGTCGATCTTGGCCTTGTGGTGACCGCGGGCCTGGTAGGCTCGGACGAGCAGTTGCACCTTGAGATGGTTCATGACGTCGGTACCTTCGGCGGAGGCCATGCCCATGCCAGGCCTGTTCGCGGCGCCGCCCTGGGGCGAGCTCATGATGTTTGGCGGCGGTTGGAAGGCTTGCGACACGGGCATGTCGCCGGACTCCATGTTGTGGAAGTAGACCTGCCATGAGTAGTGAACGCTGGCGGGGTCCTGCTTCCACTGCATGTACATGGCATCGATGTAGTTGGCCGTGTTGCCCTGGAGGAACGAGTCGTTGGGGTCCTATGCCGTCATTGTTAGCTACGGGTCGAAGAGTTTGAGGGTCTGGCTGGGAGGCACGCACAACGCCCTTGTTGGTGTCTTCCGACGACACGGCATACTGGCGGCGCTGCGTCACGGCAAGCGGGCGGCGACATGTCGAGAGAGCGGTTCGTGAGGGCTGTGCGAGGCTCGAGAAGGATGCTCTCGCTGGGGCGCACTGGAGCTGGCGGGAGCAGCACTGGCGCAGGGTGTTGCGCAACATGACGGAGATTAGATTAACAAAGCGGAGGTAGGGATGGGTGACATCCAAACGGACGACGATGAAGAGAAAAAAAGCCTCAGCTGTAGCAATGTGCAGTCGAAGTTAAGCGTCGCACGCAGTAGAAGTTGATGCAGCCAGGACAGGCCCCGTGTTCCGGCCTAGCGCGTATCATGGATCGCGGGATTTCTGACCGGTCACCACCCACCACATTCAAGGGAGCGACCGAACACCGTGAAGTCTATGTTAACACTGCATTTTCTCGTCTGCTTGTTGTTCTCCAAGTACAGTCTGCAGACCTGTGCAGGCTTGCAGTGGTACTCTTTGCTGGTCCCGGCGGCGCTGCGATATGACGAAGTGGTCGCTCATCCAGTGTTCTCGCACCAGCAGCCAATAGCAGGGCAGGCCTTATGTAACTCGCATGCAGCCTCTGACGGCTTCTGACGCTGCATGGCACGGATATGTATCCGTTGCGCCTGATGTGTTACTTCTCTTGGCTGATGCGAGCCATGCGCCATGTTTGCAGACACGCGTTCTGAAGTGGGCGAGGAGATGAAGAGGCCACATAGCCAAACCCATCAAACAAAAGATGCATTCCAGCTGAACGTCGAATTGAGTTTTGGAGTAGGGTACAGCCTTGCCTGAGCCTCAGCGGCTGCCATGCCGTTCGCTAATGCGTAGTCACGTGTGACGCGTGAATCTGGGGAAGCCCAGACAAGCTAGCACCGCGTCAGCCTCAAGCCAGGCACGCCTCACTGATCGTCGCGACATTACACCCCGCCACCATGGCCGACGCCGCTGCCCAGTACAAGAAGGACAACGGCAGAGTCGCTGTGTCTGCGGATGGCAAGACGGTGTCCTGGAAGTCGACCAGTGGCGCGGCCAATGCGCCTGCTCCGTGGTCCATAGCCATAGCAGATATTGGCAGTATGTCGAGGCCTCGCGAGAAAGACGCTATACACCACTGACACTCTCTAGACCTCCAGCAGACGCCCGCGACCGCTGCCAAGGCATCCATTAAAATCGTCGTACCCGAGCCAGCGCCCCTAGCTGGCAACCACACCCTCACATTCACCTCCGCTACCGCCCGCGACGATCAGCAGAACATAACTAGCCTATTGCGCAAATGGATCGAGGCTTCCAAGCAGCAGAGCGCTCCGTCTCCGGCTCCTGCCGCTGGTGGCAAGGATGGAGGGGACAGCAGCGCCTCAGCTGCCATGGCTATGGCGCAGACTGTGACTGCTGGCGGCAAAGACAACGAGGAAAACTACGACGACGCGAAGCTGCTTGCGGATACAACGCTTCAGATGTCGCTTCTCAATTCGAATCCAGCCCTTCGTCAACGCTTCGACCGAGCGCTTGCGGAGAAGCCCGATTCCGTCGGTGTCTTGCAGTTCTCTATGCAGTTTTGGTCTACACGCGTGCACATGTTGAGATCTCATGCAACAGAAAAGTCGCAGGCTACAGGAACTTACAACGTGCTGTCCGTCATCAAATCAAAGTCTGTCAACGGTACCCTCATGCTAAGCTTGACCAAAGAGCAGATTGAGCTCTTGTTCAGGCAGCATCCAATCGTGCAAAAGGCTTACAATGAGAACGTGCCCCAGTTGAGCGAGGGTGACTTCTGGGAGAGGTTTTTCCACAGTCGCTTGATGAAGAAGCTCAAGGGTGAGCGCATCCAAGAAAAGGACGTGCTTGATCCTAAGCTCGACAAGTATCTGTCTTACGATGAGACAACAGACAACCAGGATCTGCTTGCAGCTTCCATCCCTAACTTCATCAACATCGAGGCAAATGAACAGAACCATAGCCAGAAACAAGGTAACCGGCCCGACTGGACCATGAACCCGACCAATTATGAGAAGGCGCCCATCCTCCGAGTTTTGAATCGCATGAGCGAGAAGATGATGAAAGAAGTGCCACCTTCAGACGGAGGTCGGCATGGACCCGTTGGAGTCGATGAAGAGACATACAAAGAGCTGCAGTTGCGGGATCTACAGCGTGCAGATGACGACAACAGGGTCGTTCTCCGCGTACAGGATCAAAGCCGGTTCTTCTCCGCTGGCCAGAGCGTGCACACCTCAACCAGTGCTGCGACCTACACCAAGCGTACTCCTGCACAGGCCCTCTCGACGTTACAGCAGGATCTTCGCAAGTTCGGCGGCGACGGCCAGCTTTCGCGCGTTGATCTCCATTCTACGATCGATATCGATGATGAGAGTAGTAGTGACGAGGAGGAGTCGGTCCCCAAGAAGACCAAAGTTGGCAGTAAATCCTCGCGAAGTGCAGCATCCTCGCAGATCATTGCGGCTGTGAGGAAACGCCATCTACACAACGATGACTACACGTCATCCAAAGCCATTCCCACCAGCGAGCGGGCAAAGGAGCTTCACGTATCGGAAGGGGTTCTAGAGAATCTCACCATGACCCATAACACGACGGTCGAGTTCTTGCACTACTTCTGGGCCGTGTTCTACTCAGGAGACCCCGACCGCGCGGGCGAGATTGCGCGTCTCATCGAGACGCTTGACAAATCGCTCGACCGTATCAAGGCGGTAGCCGATATGGCAGAAGCAGAGCGCGAAGCAAGAATCGAGCATGCACGGAAAGAGAATGAGTTCGCCAACCAGCGAGAGAGGAAGAAGAGGAAGTTCGACCCCGGAGCTATCAGAGGAGGCGCGAAGGCCGTCAACCAAGTTGTGGACCCTTTGATTCGAGCAATCGACGCTGCGCGGAGTCAATACAAAAAAGCTCTCCAGGAACAAGTTGCACGCAGCACAGCGGCCGCGACTGCTTGATCGCATGTTCGTGCTGTACTTTTAAAAAGCTGAAGATCCTTCTGATTTGCATAGCGAAGGCGTTTGGGAAACAGGGCTTGTGCCGATCGGACAACCGCTAGGTATTTTCGTGAAACAATTGCAGGCCATGCTTTGAAATACACAGATTCTTTCCGGAGATACATGATAATTGTAGTCAGTGAGGCAATTGATGTTGGGAATGCCCATGTCTATCCAACAGCCATCTACGTCGGTTATTGCGCAAATCCGCAATGATCTACACGCGCTCCACGAAAACGGTCCGCCATGACCGAAAGTGATGCTGAAAGCTACAAACCACATGTGTGATCAATACCTCATCGGGTCGGAAGGTGCATAGACGCCGACAATTTTCGGATCATGTATCTTAACACGAAGTAATATCAGCAGAATCTCTACACCGCTAACTGAAGGCTCGCAATGCTTGATAAGTGCACAGTACCGCCGGTCCATCGCACCTGCCAAAGTGAATGTCTTCTTACCAGCCCGGGCTGCTTCGGCAGGCACTGGACCCCTGACCTGGGAGAGGCCCCACTTATTGAGTAACTCGACGAGGCACATTTCTTTCACAACCTCATCCTCACTTCGTTTCTTTGCGGTATGATACGGTGCAGCTTGGATGCAGCGACTGAGGGCATGAATATTGGGGTAACATGAAGACATGTCGCGCATGCAGAAGAGCACGCAAAGCAAGAGAGGACGTCATCAATTCCTGAAACGCAGGAACAACTGCGGCCAACAACAACCGAAATTGGAATGAGCGTTTATTGCGACCAGCAATACCGAAACATCGAAACTCGAAAGGAAAAGTCTTAACCAAGTATTAAAACCAGAAAACGAAGGGCACGGTTGGATGAAACACACTCGAAGAGCAAACAGATCCTCTGAGTAGACCGAAACCGCAACACCTACATCATCCAACATGGACCGAACCTACGCGACACCTACAACATCTACAAAAACAGATGCCGTCGCAAGTATACGTGTTCCTGGTGTTGAAAGCTAGGGCTGTCGTCCGTTGTAATGGTCGCGTGCGGGATCATAGTATGGTTTGTTTCCTACTATCCGTTAGTTAACCTGCACCAGATACCGAACAGAACATCTATTCATCGACTCAAAAATATACGTACCGTTGTTATTAGGAACTCGCTCCCTCGGTCGGTTGTCTCTGCAAAGATCAGTGTCGAGCCCAGCTGCACGACAACCTTAGTCGACCTACCTGTAACGGAAGCTATGCCAGAGGTACCATCTCGCGACCCAGTTCTCTTCGTTGACATGAAGCATGTAACGACCGATGTCATAATACGGTCTTGTTTCCGCGCAAGCATCGCGTACGATCATCAAAATATGCAGATGTTTCGACGTTTCCGACAACTCGTCCCATCTATATGGTTCTGCTACAGAGGGGTCTGCCCTCGATTGCTCGGTCAAATTGTAGCGGTTTGAGCTCAATGCGTTTCTGGCAGCCACAGCTTCGGCCTACGGAGGGCGTGTGGGTTAGCGGACGGCCTTCTATTGTCAGGCGAATACTTACGAGAAGCAGTCTGTGTGTACTCTCACTGAGTTTAAGTCGATTGCAAAGCTCGCTCTTGCTGGCGCTCTGGGAAAGAGGCGGCTGGGTCATGGTATGGCGACGTTCCCTAATAGGATCGTTCATCACGCCAATGGTACGAAAAGAGCAGCTCAGGTGAAATTAGATATGGGAAACAGAAAGTCAGGTCTCTTTGTCTTATATCTGGGGTCGACAGCCGTGCAGGAAGATCTTATGGAGTCGCTGTCATGTGACAATCAAGGTCCGTCCCGTCCTCTTTCCTTCCGCTGTGACACGGCGCATACGCCACATTATGAGATAATGGAGATCTGATTCGAGAAATACCCATTTCCCACCCTTACTCGCCTGGCCCCGGCGCCATGCTCTCGAGGTGGCTTCACATGCAGCTAGCGAATCTTAGGTGTTATGCCTGGCCAGCGCCGATCTATTGACGTGGACAGGGTGGATCACATGGGTCTCGCGTATCCTCCCGTGCAGCAACGGCAGGTAGATGCGTCGAAAACCGCTGTTCTGATTTGCTGCGAGGACATAGCTTCAGATCCATGGGCGTGCAGCGATTCATAATGACCTGTAGATCTCTCCACATCATTATACCCTCCTGTTGGCGCTAGCTAAATCAGCGATAGTGTAGCTTAGCCTGACGACAAAACAACATCCGCACTGCGATCATCGGGCCGGTGAGTCGAGGACCTGATGCAATCCCGAGAATCAGGTCGACGGACTTGAGCGCTGGTCAGACAGGAATACGACAAGCATCCACGGTCGGCAGGGAGATGGCTGCTTCGAAGACTTTCTGACCAGCCAATGCCACCCAAGCGCGGAGCACGACTACATGGCTCACGAGCGTGGCGCATTGGGCGGAGTGAATGGAGCTCGGCTCGTCACGCCCAGCTCCTGCGGACCAAAGGCGCTCGAAGAAGAGCATCACACTTGGAGAGCGTGGGTGCAAGAAAGCACGGCCCGAACTGAGTCATGTCTCTACGTGAGATCAATAATCCACTCCATTCTACAGGTCGACAAATCACACCCCAGGCTAGACATTCAAGTTACTTGAATTCTCAAGATGCCCGAAGGCCATCCAGCTGTCAACAACGGCCCAGCGTGATACTTATTGTGTCCGCCCTCAGCTACTGGAGGTAAGGATCGCCGTCAAGTGCAGGGCAACGGACAGAAATTCAATGTGATCAGTAAGCCTGGCTTAAGGGCGTTTTCCAGGGCTCGATAACACTCACCACTGAAGCATGGAAGTTGACTCAGCACAATTGACCGGACAGGTGTGAGCAGTCTCACAACCGTGTGTCTAGACTGAGAAAAATGCGCATTTCGCTGCTGGGCGGATCTTGTTCATCGAACATGTACCAAATCGTACAGCTTCTGGAAGCAATGGAAGGCTTTGCCGCGTCGTGCAGCCTCCTCTAGCCCGGCTAAGCCCGAGCCAAACGAGTCTACAGCGAGCGCACGGCTGGCGACCACCGCGAATTGAACTTGCCGAAGGTCAGTACCGGTCAGCTACCTGGAAAAGTTACCCCTTGCTTACCGTCATCATGCTGGCTCATAGGTTGACGACAACGAGACACATCCCGTGTCTATTTTCAGTATTCTCAGCGCACTCGCACCGACCGAATGGATCGCATAGGTGACATATCGCTTGTTACCTTCCGTTACATCGGTGATGAATAAACGGCGGCTTTTCCGTATCCAATCTGCTGCTGCAGTAGCTCTGAGAGCTCGTGGATGGTGTGAGCTGGAAGTCGCTTCTGCAGTTCAATCTTGCCAGGCTATCCTGGGACTTTGTCAACGATGGATGAAGGTACATGGAGAAGAAGACGTACGACAAGCCACATGTGCTCGGAACAGAGCTCTATAATTGTCACGACCGTGATAGGTTACAAGGTCCATGGTGAACCTGGCCAACTCATCGCTACCCCAGCCTTAAGTACGTCGCTTGTGTGGAGACTGCGTGAAACTAGCCAGCCTGCTTTCCGTATCGGCGAACCTGGATTAGTGCACCGTTTCGTCTCCCAACGCATTGTATACAATGTAAGCGGCACGACCCACTTGATCCCGTCGCCGGCCTGATTGTACGGACCCGGCTTGTTTTGCCGATCATTAGACTCTGATTGTGCAGCCTGTGAACAGAGGCTATGGAAGCTATGCAAAACCAGCATTCTTGATGGAGCCATTTGCGGCATGCGTAGGTGATCTTCGAATCCTTCGCTAATCACCTGCTTGTGCGATCAATTTTGGATGAGCACTTTGTCCATGAATAAGGGTCATGATCTCACAGCGGCGCTAGCCAAAGATAGGCAGGCTGGGGCATAGGGTCTGCATGCAGGAGCAACCGCCACGAGCAAGTTGGAGCGATGTACTTGCGTACGGGAGGGTCCGACGTTGAGGTCGAAGAAGCACAGCAACAGTTTTGCTTTTGCGCATCATCGCCAATTCCAGGAAGGGTCGTGGGGCTTAGGGGCTGCGAGTACAGAGCATTTTGATTGGATGGCCCTCCGCACACAGCCGCGTCGAACATGTTCCCTTCGCTAGGACAGAAAACACTGGAGCTGTCTCCTAGGCGGACTGCAATGGTCGTACGATTCGGGAGACTTTAGTCGGCGAATACCATGGCCGTGGTCATGCCCTCCGAGTGGTGAATGAGCCGCCACGAGATACGACAGGGCGGTTGCACAGGAGCAGGTCATGGCTGCTCCTGCCTAAACAATACAATCTCGGAAAGGGCGCTGCGGAAGGCCTGCTACTTCCCAGGATGCCCTGCGGCGCACAAACAAAGTTGCTCTGCTATCAGCAGGGTCCCACACTCATGCACATTATGATCTAGCATCGATCGGATCTCATCTTTGACAATATCGATGACAGGACATGAGCATGATGCCTACAGCACAGCCCCGCGACGCCAGTCTACTAGACCGCAGCAACGGCCAGGAACCAATATGTGGTCCAGCTCCATCAGATCCGTTGAACGAGACCCACGCCACTCCGTCCTTCCGATCGACCCATGCCATGCAGCCGGATCCGTTCGCCTATTACAGAGCTTTCCTAGATACGAGCTCGTCGCAAATGCAACCGCAAACGCAAGGCCAAGGGCGCGATCGGCATTACATCGCACAAGATCACGATGATTATGCCTGCCACGATATTACCGGGACCGGAGATATGCAGCACGCCATGGAATATCAGCAGCAGGCCAGAGCTCGAGGCGTTCCCTACAATCTTGCCGTTCGGCTCGCAAATCGCTCCAATGGCGCGCCTCTAGCCACTATTGTGGAGCAAGGTTCTTACTCGACGCTAAACTCACATGGCTCCCTCCTCAGCGTGGGCCGCTTCCCTTCACTCCGTGTGGTGGAAAATGCCTCGCCGACGCGCTCGTCACACAGAATCTCATACACACCAGAAGAACATGTTCTCCAGCGCATCACAGAAGATGTGCAGCGAGGGCATCTGTTGAAAGCACCAAGCAATACACACGATGTGCCCTTGTGCAAGGATTACAGCAACTCGTTCCGGGCTGATGATGCCGCAATCCCATCCGCGTTTCCCAGTCTTAAGCCATCGCAATCTATTACCCATCGGAATGGCAAGGCCGACTCCGACGCTAATACCAGCAATGTCAAAAGCTTCTTTCGTGGCGTTATACACAATGTTCGAGCTGCCTCGAGAACCCGGTCTAGGTCGTCCTCGACGCAGATGTCGCTCGTTGAGAACCATAGCGATCGGCCGGGTGCGAGCGAGGATAGCCTACAAAGTCAATTGCAGGCATCTGACATGTCTCAACTGGGCGATGACACATTTGACACGCCATATCGGTTCCCTACTGCATCCCAGGCCCTAAGCGCGACTAAAGCGTTAGCTTCAGAGAATCAGGCCAGAAACGGGCAGTCATCCATGGCTGATCCTAGTTTCTCAGCTCATGCGATAGTCCCCAATTCTGACGTCGACCCGTATACGCTCGAGTCGCAAACGGCATTTGGAGCCGTGTCAAAGCTATTACCACCGTCGGCTACAGTCCGCCCGCATGAACGGTCCTCTTCTGTGCGTCTTGTGTACCCGGAAGCACGCGATGGGGCGCACGATGGCGGTAGCGCTAGAGTACCAACGCTGTCAAACGAGGCCAACAACACTATCTCAGCTGGACACACATTTTATGGTGCAGGTAAGAACAACCATTCACTCACAGAGCATGACCACGCGACTGAGGCTAGTCACAATGCGAGCTTCTGTAGTACCATGTCCACTTCCTACTCGGGAACAGTAGTTGGTGTCGATGTCGACCTTCAGCACGACTTCCCTCATCCAGTGCGTCCCTCGCGTTCGCCCACACCTATCGCGCCAGTATGGTTCACTCCGCAGATGGCCGAGCTAGAACGGCAAGCTTCACTCTCTGAGTCACCTCCGGAGCCGGATCAAGTTGCTGAGGCAGAACCTACGCGTCGCTCAATCACCTCATCCGCATTGACGTCTTTACTACCAATAGCTGCAGCATCGGGCATCGTTCGCCCCAACTACGACACACCGAAGATTTCATTCTTCTCGCCGTCCGGCAATCTTATCCAGCCAGAGGGTAGTTCGACGCCAGGCACTACGAGCGCTTCGGACTTCAGCGGCTCACCCACTGCAACCACATCGTACTACGATAACAAAACCACACCTGCAACCTATCGTGCGTTCCCGACAACGACATGCCTGCCACCCCCAAGGCCCTCTTTGAGGCCAATGACCACACCACCCACATCCTCGGTTCCGCTCCCTATGCACCTACGTTTCCATCACAACTACAAACGCCCTGAGCAGTCGCAGATCGACTCTACGGTTGGCTCCATAGACTCGTTCATCTTGCCTGCACCGTTAGTTCAAGGCTGTGACGGCATAGCGCAAACCGAAAGTCTTGCGCCTTGCTCCAGACCGCGTCATTCGTACGAGAAGCTGAATGTACGCCCGCGCTACAAACCTCGCAGATCAGCTCGATCATTCGCCGAGGACCTCAAATATGAGGCGAGGTTCCACAGAGCCCGATTGATCACGGCCATCATCGCAAGTTGCACCTCGTCTGGAAAAGGAAGGGTCCTTCGCAAGCGAAAGGCTGCGAACCGTAGAGCCGCAGCAACCGCATACGTTAGCATGCCCCGAAGCTGCGCAGGTGAGGCTACAGCCAGACCTAGAAAGAAACGAGTACACCCCCGTCAACCCACAGCTCGGCGCGAAGTAGGGGTCCTCGGACCGCTTGCCGGGCACATACTGCGGATTTGCTTCTGCCAGCCATACGACGGTGCAGGCAAGACGACAGCCAGCGGCGCTACCAACAAGACGTGCATTGGCAAGAGCAGCAACCGCACAGCAAACACGCAGAGCGTATCGAAGAAGGAAAGCCCTCGCTCCAACGCAAACGACGTCGACGTGGATGCAGCCTTACCCAACGCGCGGGTCGTGACCGGAACCGAACGGAAGGTCAGCAATACCGTATGCCAGCGCACCACGGTCCGCAAGGAGAAGAGGCACTCGTCCACCGGCTCGAATCACCACTCCAGAACGCGCAGTGACAGTGCCGTCAGCGTGGGTGTGGCATCCAGCACCGCTACCGCGCGTGGCTAAGCTGACGGGCTAGACCGCATCCGCTGTGACAGCTGCCACACAGGTGTGTGCGGGTACGTGGTTGTTCAGTTCGGTACCGATCCACAAGCCCGACAGAAGGTGTAACTTGTTCTGACTCATCTCGGTTCATTTCAGGGACGTGTGAATGGGCTACGCCGTAGTGGCGGGTATGTAGATGTACCACAACGAAAGCGGGTCTTGTCACATCTCATCAGAAACAGGCATTGCGGTCGTCGCTGGAAGCGGTATAGCTTGGTAGTGTAAAGATTATAATAACTTAGTTATTATTATCTTTTTATTATTATTAAGCTTTATTAAAATTACACTTATTATAATTTCTTAATAAATTAGAAAAATTCCTAGTAAATCTAATTACTTACGTAATTAAGATTTTAGTAGCTAGTTTTAATCTACTATACTAAAAGATTCTAAAATACTTTTATTTATTTTAGCCTAGTTAATATTAGAGTTATTACATAATTTAATAACTTTTATCTTCTTATCTCTCTTTCTATAATTACTAAAAGATTTAGTAATAAACTAATTATTAGTTTATATAATATAACGCATAAACTAATATAATTAGTACTAGTCTAAATTATAAATCTAGAAAATAAAAAAAATTTAGTAGACTTAAATTATAAATCTAGAAATTAATAAAAATTAAGTAGATTTAATTATAAATCTTTATCTCTAAGTAGAAATAGATAAATATTTACGTAATTATTTTAGTAGCTATTTTCTATAAAAAAAATAGTAATTCTTTATAGTTATTCTTTACTTAGTAATAATATTATTACTTTTTACTTACTATTTACTATATAATTATTTTATTATAATCTTAATTAGTTATACTATTTATTATAGTATTTAACTACTTTATTCTAATAAAGCTATATTCTATTATTAGAGAATAGTTCTTATTACTTATCTATTCTTTATAGATTATAAGCCTAGCTAGACGCTTATAGCTTTATTAGAATATATTTTATTTATATTATTACTTATTCTAAGTAATTAATATATTTAAAAGAAAAAGATTTTTATTTATTCTAAAAGAGTATTCTTTAGAATTAATAAAATATCTATTTTAGAACTGTATAGTTTAATCTATACTTTTTATCTATTATTATAATAGTACCTTTTTAACTTTAAGCTATTTAAAAATTTATAATCTTTATTTAGTAGTTAATTAGCCTCTATTATAATTAATAATAAAAAGAAAGTACTTATTATTATTTTATAATAATAAGAAAAAAAGCTTTTAGTTATTATTATTAATAATTAATAAGAAAGAAACTAGAGTACTTCTTATTAATATTAATAAAATAATAGTATTAGCTAAGACT